AAGGACGTTGTTGTTGCAAAAGGAGTAACTATGCTGACAAAATGAGATCACCATACTCGAAGAGGTTGAGAAGTTATTATTGGTGGGATAAATGAAAACAATTAGCAGGAGATACCTTATGACTTCGATATTTGTGAAAAGGCTAGGCAGTTTCATGAAGATTTGTAAAGAATTGCCTGCAAATAGTGGTGATGTGAGTGAATTTAAGGCCAGCAAAGGTGTTTGAGAGATTTAAAAAACCGTACTGGCATACACAGTGTGGTAAGGCATGGTGAGGCTGCCAGTTCAGACCACAAGGCGGCTGAAAAATATGTGATAAATTCCAGGAGTACATAGAGGCTGAAGGACTGAAACCTGAACAAGTGTTCAATTGTGACGAAACAGGCCTCTTTTGGAAGAAAATGCCAAAGAGGACCTTCATTACACAAGAGGAAAAGGCAATCCCAGGATACAAGCCTATGAAAGACAGGCTGACGCTAATTGTTCTATGTTAATGCTATTTGGGATTTCGAAGTGAAGCCATTACTAGTGTACCATTCAGAAAATCCCAGAGTGTTCAGGAAAAACAATGTTATGAAGAGTAAATTGTGTGTGTTTTGGAAATCTAATAGTAAGGCATGGGTCACAAGGGAAAATTTTCTTTCGAGTGGTTCAATGAAGTGTTTGGCCCTAGTGTGAAGGAGTATCTCCTGGAAAAAAAATTGGATCTCAAGTGCCTGCTAGTAATGGACAATGCACCTGCTCATCCTCCAAACTTGGATGACCTAATTTTCAAGGAGTTTGGGTTCATCACAGTAAAGTTCTTGCCCCCGAATATCACTCCTCTTCTCCAGCCCATAGACCAGCAGGTCATTGCAAACTTTAAAAAACTCTACACAAAAGCAATGTTTCACAGGTGCTTGACTGTGACCACAGACACTCACTTGACCCTAAGGGAATTTTGGAGAGAACACTTCAGCATCCTCCATTGCATAACCCCTTATAGGTATGGCTTGGGAGGGATTTTTTGAACTCTGCCTGGAAAAAATTGTGGCCATATTGTGTCGACAAGAGGGATTTTGAAGGGTTTGGGACTGACCCTGATGAGCCTATGTCTGTTGTAAAATCAATTGTGGCACTGGGGAGTTCCATGGGGTTGGATGTGAGTTTGGAGGATGTGAAAGAATTGGTGGAAGACCACAACAAAGAGCTCACCACTGAGGAGCTGCAAGAGCTTCAGCAGGAAGAGCAACAGATCACAGCTCAGAATCTTGCTGCAAGTGGAGGAGGAAGAGAGATGGAAGAAGGTGCCTTCTTCAGAAATTAAAGAGATTTTTACTATGTGGGGTAACATGGAAAGCTTTATGGAGAAACATCACCCTAACAAGGTTGTTGCAAGCCATATTGGCAACATGTACAGTGACAAAGTCTTGGGCCATTTTAGGGAAGTGTTAAAGAGACTCCAAAAACAGAGCTCTCTCCACGGTTATTTTGCGAGACAGGACTCCATTGACTCTCAAGGTGGTCCTAGTGGCATTAAGAAACAGAGAAGAGAAGCAACCCCAGAAAAGCAATTGGTACCTGAGGTGTTGCTGGAAGGGGATTCCCCTTCCAAACTATAAACAATCCACTCTCTCTCCTCCTCCAGTCTCCCATACACTAAGAAGAATCTCCAATAAAGGTAAGTGTTATGCTGTTAATATTTCATTCATCATTTCCCATGGTATTGTTTATGTACTACATGTATATTTCATGTAAAAAATTTTTTTGTTTTAATACTTCTGGGTGTCAGGAACGGATTAATTGTATTTACATTATTTCTTATGAGGAAAATTGATTCATAAATCATAAATTTCGTTTATAGTAACGGCTCCAGGAACGGATTAATTACGAAAAACGAGGGACCACTGTATACGTTTTTACTGCTAGTGCCCCAAATGTATAAATTTTATTTTTCCTGCCTTCAAATTTGGCATGATTGGCCTGGGATGTCTTGTGAGCATAGAATGGGTTCTAACACTCAGTGTGTGCAGTATTAAAAAAATCTGGGACCACTTAGTACCTTGTGGGAGCACCAGTTCAAATGAGCGCCAGCTAGAGCAAACAGTGCAGCAAACACCTGGGATTCACTGACGTCATGTAGTATTAACACTCCCATTTTAAGAGGAAAGTGATTTTGACCCTGAGTTTAGTGACTTTGAGGTGGATGTGGCCACAAGTAGTCGAGGAAATATAAAAAAACCTCGATAATAACCCATGTGCAATATTTGTGCAACACCCTTTCAGAATGTCTTATGACCTATGTCCTAAGAAAAACAATTCTGGCAGGTTGGCTGGCTGGCTGGCTGGCTGGCTGACTGGCTGGCTGGCTGGCTGGCTGGCAGTCTGGCTGCCTGGCTGGTTGATTGGCTGGCTAGCTGGCTGGCCGGCTGCGTGGCAGCCAGCTGTGTGGCTGGCCGGCTGCTGGCGGCACGGCTGTATCTCCGTTTGTCTGTCTGTATCTATGTCTATCTCTGTCTGTCTCTCTGTCTCTATCTCTGTCTGTCTCTTTCTATCTTTGTCTCTGTCTATCCCTGTCTATCTCTGTCTATCTGTCTCTGTCTATCTCTTTCTATCTATCTCTGTCTCACAGGTACACAAATACAAGTATACATAGTGTAAATTACCTAGTATAACCCCAAAAATCCAGACAAAGTGCCATACTCTGGTTGAAGATGTGAGTAAACATGATGACAATGCAGTCTTGTGGCTCTCTCTGAGACAGAGAGCTAGACAGATAGACAGATAGACAGGGAGCTTGACAGACAGACAAATAGACAGACATGTTTGTGTACCAGCGAAAAAAAAAGCAAGCCCTAATCTTTTCTTATCACGTCTTATCACTGCACCCTTGCGAATGCTCATCAAATGTCAGCTCTTATTAAATGTTATCTCATTATCTCATCTTATCACATCACTCTCAGGGGTGGACTATGTTTTTCATGCTTCAAGGGAACTTATTATTTTATTATCATTACAAATTCTTCTCTCCTCCTCCTTCTCCTTCTCCTCCACCTCCTCTCCTCCTCCTTCTCTGCCTTCTCCTTCTCCTCCTCATTATTATTTTGTACTTCCACATATCCGAAACATTGCTGGGACCTATAAATACTTTGTATATTCCAAGACAATAGTAAATGACCAAGGCAGGTATAAATGTCCACCTGTCAATGTGTTTGTGACAATGTGAGTACAAAATTTTAGTACCTAATACTAGTGTCAGAACAAAGATTGGTTATGAAATGACAAGAACTACTATAAATTGTAATTATCAGAACATAAAAAAATTTTATTTAAAAATATGAAAAATGGAAAAAAAGATATATTGGCAACACTTCTGCAAGCGGCAGCGCTCCATGTTGCCGCCAGGTGATCGCCAAGTGCCAACTTTGCGGCCTCATATCTTGGTAAGTACTGACCCTAAATTTTTTTTTTATCCTATAACACTTAGAAAAATGTGCTTCTTTTTTTTTAATAAAAAACAACGATTTTTTTTTTTATTTTTTTAAAATATTCGGGGCACTGGGTAGTGAACTATATATACGTTTGGAACCATTTTTCGGGTTACCTGAATCATTGTTTCACAAAAAGCATTTTTGAATATATGAATATATCTTTTGTCTTATTAAATTAGATTCACTTATAATTAATAATCTACTGTACAACTATGATATAATTAATATTCTACTGTACAACTATGATATAATTAATATTTACTGTACAACTATGATAAATTAATATTCTACTGTACAACTATGATATAATTAATATTCTACGTACAACTATGAATAATTAATATTCTACTGTACAACTATGATAAAATTTAAAATTCTACTGTACAACTATGATATAATTAATATTCTACTGTAAAAACTATGATATAATTAATATTCTACTGTACAACTATGATATAATTAATATTTACTGAACAACTAGATATAATTAATATTCATGCTACAACTATGATATAATTTCAGTGTTAAGCAGTCAGTAAGCCAATACAATGTTAAGCCGGCCCATAATGCCTAGGCATAATACAGGCTCTCTTTGCATTACAAACCCATATTGTAAATACATAATCCCAAAGTACTATTTGCAAAGACAAATAAATAAATAAATAAATAATAAACTCAGATTTAATCGAAAATAAAGGGATAAGGCAGGTCTATTCCATTGGATCAAGAGCCTTCACTGATGCCAAGAAACCTCCCTTTTGGTACATCTTTATAGTTAAAGAAGTAGGGTTATGTTTGTATGTCTAATCTTTTATAAATTTAAATTTTAAATTCATAAGAGGAGACACAATAGTAGTTCATACTACTGTATTTCCTCTTAAAAACCATTCACCTATTTTTTAACTATCCACTACCAATTAAAAAATTTACTTCTGTATTCCTTGGATCAAAAGCCCTCACCAGCATCAAGGCACCTAGTGGTTAACTTATCCAATTCAGACACTCCAATCCTCTACAGATATATTTCAGTCAAGGCTTTGATATTGAAATTTCTTTCATTTATGACATTAACAATACTTATTTTTCTCAATGGTTTTAGTATACAATTGTAATATATATTAATTATTATACTGACCATCTCTTATCAAGGAAGAATGGCCCAAATAATTACTATATAACTGCAAAATTTTATAAACCTTTTTTGTGCATTGTATAAAGAAGAAAAAGAGTAATGAGCTCTAAGTTTCAGGTAATTTATTCATCTTCTAAAACACACATGGATTAGGGAAAGGTTTCAACCTGCCATTTTCCAAGTTACTGAGGCTTCTTTCAAAAGATATAATCAGTAATAAGGAGAAGAAGAGATAAGTGAAAATAGCCTCACCATACGTAGAGCAAATGGGAGAATATTAGACTTGGGAGCTCTCTCTTTTCTATTTTAGTTCAAATAATTCCTACCAATAAAAAAGAAATTGGGTATGGATAACAAATAAGAAAATGCTGAGATTTTAGTTTAAATAATGTACAAACCTGTACAAATGAAGTAAACCTGCCCAGATGGAGGGATGCAACATGTGCATCAAATACCAACTGCTCTGTCTCCACTTCATTAGCTACTCACCCTGAAATCCAACACAGATTATCTACTTAATAAAAAATTCAAAACAAAATGAAACCCATAAATCAATCTGCGCAAAGAAAAATTTTTCTTTCCCTCTCAAATAATTACAATTACAAGGTGAAAATAAAAAGGTATAAATACCAACACAATGGAAACATAAACACACACGCAGTTTAATGTGATCCTTTATTGGACAACGTTTCACCCCCACAGTGGGCTTTTTCAAGTCACAAACAAATCTACCTAGGGGAAGGTACGTGAGTATTTAAAGTCAGGTTTTTAGAATGTTGAGGTCAGGTGGAGAATGCTGCATCTGATGATCTACCGGGTGGGGTTATAGAGTCTAAAATCTTGGTAGCTTGCAGGGGTATTGGATAAGTTGTGAGCAGACCTTCTGCAGTGTTTTTATGTTCTTATGTGGGATAGCGATGAAGAAGTTTCTTGGCAAGTGGTTCAGCTATGTTATAGAAGCCATTGTTTGGTTGAAATTGTTGGTTATAGAGATAAGCGATTCCACTTAATGACCCAGATACCTACAAACCCCTCACAACTAACCAAGTGGACAATCTACTAAAACTTTTCTTCAAAGGACTCGCCGCATTCTGAGGAACTCAGAACAAGGAAGAAACTTCTGCACACCATACCAGCAACCCTAGACCTGCCAGAATGTGCGGCCCTACCAAAAACTCACAAGCTGGTATCCCATTGAGGCCCATATCTTCGGAATAGGCAGTGCTCCCCACCAACTCTCAGGAATTCTCAAAAAACACCTCTCCTAAACTCTGGGCACTATCAGTCCAGCACATCTCAAACACTCGGGTGATCTTCTCAATCGCATTCGCAACATCAACATCAGGAACAAGAAAACTTTCCAACCTTGACGTAACTTCCCCATTCACCAAAGTACCTACTACACAAGCCATCGTCTTCTGCACAGAAAAATTGAACAATTCACTTGATCTTCCTATTCCAGCCAGCAATTTCATCGACCTCGTTGAACATATGTGTCGCTTTACGTTTTTTCTCTTTCAAAAATCACCTCTTTCAACAGACTTTGGTCTACCCATGGGCTCGCCACTCAGTGCCATCCTGGCGAACTTATACATGGAACATCTGGAAGCCGAGCGTTTCTCCACCATTATTCCTTCGACTGTCACCTGGCCCGTTATGTTGACGACATTCTCCTCATAACTCCCAGTCGCTTCAACGTTCAAGCTCTCCAAGACAAGCTCAACCAGGTCGAGCCCTCAATCCAGTTCACACTTGAAGAAGAAGTCGACAACACTCTTCCTTTCCTTGATGTTCTCTCTGCAAAGCTGACCATGAACTTCGTTTTAAAGTCTATCGAAACCAACCAACCAAAACGATCTTCTCCATTATCATCATCACTTCATCAGAGACTGCAGACAGCGGGCATTAAACATCTTCAACACACCCAGAGAAGACACTGCGAGAAGAGATACACAGTCCTCCCCACCAACTCCATTGCCAAACATTGTTTCCAACATCTTTTCCAATACAGTGGTCCCTCGTTGTTCGTAATTAATCCGTTCCTGGAGCCGTTACTATAAACGAAATTTACGATTTACGAATCAATTTTCCCCATAAGAAATAATGTAAAATACAATTAATCCGTTCCTGACACCCAGAAGTATTAAAACAAAAAATTTTTTAACATGAAATATGCATGTAGTACATAAACATTACAATGGGAAATGATGAATGAAACATTAACAGCATAACACTTACCTTTATTGGAGATTCTTCTTAGTGTATGGGAGACTGGAGGAGGAGAGAGAGGTGGATTGTTTATAGTTTGGAAGGGGAATCCCCTTCCATCAACACCTCAGGTACCATTTGCTTTTCTGGGGATGCTTCTCTTCTCTGTTTCTTAATGCCACTAGGACCACCTTGAGAGTCAATGGAGTCCTGGCTCACAAAATAAAAACTGTGGAGAGCTCTGTTTCTGGCGTCTCTTTAACACTTCCCTAAAATGGCCCAAGACTTTGTCACTGCCATGTTGCCAACCTGGCTTGCAACAACTTGTTAGGGTGATGTTTCTCCATAAAGCTTTCCATGTTACCCCACATAGTAAAAATCTTTTTAAATTTCTGAAGAAGGCACCTTCTTCCATCTTTTCTTCCTCCTCCTCTCCCAGCAAGATTCTGAGCTGCGATCTGTTGCCTTCCTGCTGAAGCTCTTGCAGCTCCTCAGTGGTGAGCTCTTCATTGTGGTCTTCCCCCAATTCTTCCACACCCTCCAAACTCACATCCAACCCCATGGAACTCCCCAGTGCCACAATTGATTTTACAACAGACATAGGCTCATTAGGTCAGTCCCAAATTCTTCAAAATCCCTCTTGTCGACACAATTTTGGCCACAATTTTCTCCAGGCAGAGTTTAAAGTCCGGTAGTCACTCCCTCCAAGCCATACCTATAAGGGTTATGCAGTGGAGGATGCTGAAGTTTTTCTCCCCCAAAATTCCCTTAGGGTCAATTTTAGTGTCTGTGGTCACAGTCAAGCACCTGTGAAACATTGCTTTTGTGTAGAGTTTTTAAAGTTTGCAATAACCTGCTGGTCCATGGGTTGGGAGGAGAGGAGTGGTATTCGGGGGCAAGAACTTTACTGTGATGAACCCAAACTCCTCGAAAATTAGGTCATCCAAGTTTAGGATGAGCAGGTGCATTGTCCATTACTAGCAGGCACTTGAGATCCAATTTATTTTCCAGGAGTACTCTTAAACACTAGGGCCAAACACTTCATTGAACCACTCGACAAAAATTTCCCTCGTGACCATGCCTTACTATTAGATTTCCAAAAACACACCCCAATTTACTCTTCATAACATTGGTTTTTCCTGAACACTCTGGATTTTCTGAATGGTACATAGTAATGGCTTCACTTTGAAACCCCCACTAGCATTAGCACGAAACATTAGCGTCAGCCTGTCTTTCATAGGTTTGTGCCCTGGCATTGCCTTTTCCTCTTTTTGTAATGAAGACCCCTCTTTGCATTTTTCTTCCAAAAGGGGGCCTTTTTCATCACAATTGAACCTTGTTAGATTTCAGCCCTTCAGCCTCTATGTACTCCTGGAATTCATGCACATATTTTTCAGCCGCCTTGTGGTCCGAACTGGCGGGCCTCACCATGCCTTACCACACTGTGATGCCAGTAGGTTCTTAAATCTCTCAAACCAGCCTTTGTGGCCTTAAATTCACTCACTTCACCACTATTTGCAGGCAATTTCTTTACCAAATCTTCATGCAACTGCCTAGCCTTTTAAAAAAATTTAAACGAAGTCATAAGAGTATCTCCTGCAAAATTGTTTCTCATTTATCCACCCAATAATAACTCCTCAACCTTTCAGTACTGGTGATCTTTTTTTTGTCAGATATTTATCCTTTTGCAACAACAGCATCCTTCATTTCATTTTTCTTGGCCACTGTGGAACATAAGGTTGTGTAGGGTTTCTTATACATCCTGGACAGTTCGCCACACTTGTACCACTTTCATATTGTTCAATGATGGTTTTCTTAAATTCAATCGTATTTCTCACCTTCTTTACCACAGGCTTTGGCACTAGGGGCTTTCTTTGGAGCCATGGTAGCCTATTTAGTACTGGCAAGCCACTAAATAAATGGAAAAATTATGAATATTTAGCTGGGCATGTGAGGGGACCTTCGCTCACTGGTAAACAAAAGCAAGACTGGCTGCCGCCCTGGCTCACGCCGTGGGTACGCGTCCTGGGCGACTACGACTCGTGAGTCAACCTATGAAAAGCGAGTCATGTTTATACGAAAATACCCCTATGATTGGCGAATTTTACGATTGCCGGGAACTACGAAAGTGGGGGGACCACTGTACATCATTCCAAGTATCTACCTCCAAAAACCACGACCTCAAGGACATCACCAGTAGTAGACAGGACAAGCTTCCCTCCTCGCAGGGGTTACATAATCCTTGTAATGAATGCAACAAATTATACGTGGGCGAAACATCAATAGACCTCCAAAAACGTATTTCAGAACACCAATACGCAAGCAGGACTGACAAATACAAGGAATGCCTGTGTAAACATCGCAATTCACACAACCATTTAATTAACTACAGAACTCAGACTTATCGCCACAGAAGACAACACTCAATACCAAAGAATCCGGAATCCCTATTTTCTATAACCAACAATTTCAACCAGAACAATGGCTTCTATACATAGCTGAACCACTTGCCAAGAAACTTCTTCATCGCTATCCCACATAAGAACATAGAACACTGCAGAAGGTCTGCTCACAATTATCCAATACCCCTTTCCAAGCTACCAAATTTAAACTCTATAACCCCACCCGGTAGAAAATCAGATGCGGCATTCTCCACCTGATCTCAACATTCTGAACCTGACTATAAATACTCACGTACCCTTTCCACCCCAGGTAGATCTGTTTGCGACTTGAAAAAGCCCACTGTGTGGGCGAAACATTGTCAATAAAGGATCACATTAAACACATATGTGTTTATGTTTCCACCATTACAAGGTCCGTAACAATGTAATCTTTAAAATAAAAAGTGTTAATTTCAAACTAAGTTTGACTTAGATTTCAAAGTATGATCGTCTCCCCATGAATTTGTCACAAAAAACACAACTGGTTCACAAATATCTGCCCAAAGGAAGTGAACAAACTGATTTTGTGCAGTGTGCAAAAACTGCACACTTCGAAAAGGAAACTGAACAAAATAGTGATGAAATTTTTCAATCCCAAATGTCTTCAGGAATTCAAGCAGATTATGATATAACACAACCCCCTTGCATTAGCTTTATATATATAAAATATGGGAAGACAGTGATCATTTAAAATATCACTGCCCAATTTACAAATTTTTGTGTCAGACCAACAAGTTACTAAAGTATGCAACATTAAATGAGAAAAAAATGATACTTCCAAAAGGAAAATAGGTACTAACGATTTTTTTTTTTAACAAAATCAGCCATCTCT